GTTTAATTCACAATACCATCATCAAGAACTCACAAACCAAAAAAAATATGTTGTCCTCTGTACTCTAAACAAATTTGAAGATAGGAACTACTTAAATTTCTATTAACAGCAAAAGCACCTCAGCAACCTTTGTCAAGACCAAAATGAAGACACACACACATTCAACACATCGCTTACTGTATATAAAAAAAAGATAAACTGTGTGTATAGAAAGTGTGCAGTGTGTTTAGAACATTCATTCAACATCCTGATGAATAATGGATCTTTAAAAGTAACTGCTCGGTTACAATTACACCGAGAGCAGTTAACAGTAAATTGCTATTGGGACGCCTCAGGCGGTGGAATATGGAAACTGTAATATAACATAATATTTTGGACAGTATCAATCCTCACTGAGCATGGTATAATGTGTTTTATAATACCCTTTCAAACTCCTCTGTGGATGACAACAGGACTACATTCACTAGATTGCACTGGATTGAAGATATTCAAGTTGAGTTATGTCCTCTTGGATAAATTAGCATTGCTGGCTGGAAGTTATAGAATATCTGTTGAAATGAACACTTTTTGTATAGTGTAGAATGTTTAGTGTGGTCTGTGTTTGTGTGCATTCAGCTGGTAAATACAGGCATGAATAAACTGTGGCCTGTTCACTCAGCTTACCCTACTTAATCCTCTCCAATTCCTTTTTGTCCACTTTGTTAGTATTAGATAGCAATATGGCCTACGTGCAGGACTGTACAAGGACTCTACAAGGACTCCATGTTATGACTATGATGTGACTGTCTCTTTGTGACACGTATGTCTTTCGATGTGTGACGTGACAATGACTATATAAACTGTGTACTGCCTTTATTCTGTCTGAGAGAAAGAAACAAAGTAAACCAGTGGAACTTGAGAGAAACTTAAATAAACTTCCAGAGTTTGGCGCACCACGATCCGTCTCTCTCTGCTAAATCCTAACAGATTTGGTGGAGAATGCGCGGCTCCGTGTGTGCCATTCTCTGGATTGTTTTGAGGGAGTTTGCTTTGTTTCTTTTCCTCGGCGTGAGAGATCGGCATGCTGTGTCTGGGAGCGGAGATTCCAGCAGGCTGGAAGAGCTGTTCCTGGATGCTCCTTGTCGCTTCTGTCACTTTTGTTTTTTAAATTGAATATTCCGACGCGGAAAAGAAGTTGGCTGACCTCTTGAACAGTCCGGACAAAGAATTAAGGTAAGCAGACACCTTTTTTAATATGTAAAGTCTGCATAATTGGATATTAGCTAAATTTTGGTCTGTTTTTGGGGTCTGTCAAACTCTCTAAATTGTATTTGAGAAGCAGTCTCAGGGTTTAAGTCCCTTGGAGCAGTCTCAGGGTTTAAGTCTGAGGACCCTGAGGATCTGAGGACCTGAGAGAGAAAAACCTGGGGAGTGATGTTTATATTTTTAAAATCATACATTGATGAGTGCTAAATGAGAGAGATACTCATGATTCTTTCTTTTGTTTTTGATTGTCCCTAGCTTCTGGACATCTGATGATCTATTGGACACAGCCATTTGCAGAACAAGAACCAGCCAATGAAAAATTGTCTATTGCCGATGCTATTGCTACAACCAGAACCTGTGACCAAATGCAATATACATGTTAAATATTCAGACATCTGACAGACAAAAACTTTGACTTTTTAGTCTGGGAGACTGAGCAACTGTTAAAATGTTTGAAAATGATAAAGTATGAGTATTGTAGCGTTTTAGTAGATGTTAAATAGTAGTAAAAAAGTAGAATTGTCCTTTCTTTGTTTTTCATAAACATATTTCCAGGTAAGAGTTAAAATAGTACCATACAATGTTATCCTTCTGATAGAGCAGATATAATATTAGAATCAGAGTTACGTTATTTTAGAGATATTAAAAGTGACAGAAGTCACAAATTAGGAATATGCCTTTGCTCAAGCTGCAACCGAGCTTTGGAGTCAATGTAGAGTAGAAATAGAATTAGATAAAAGCATCAACCATAGATGCTTTCAAAAATAGAGATTATTTCTAGCCATTGCTAATATCAAATGGTAAAGGGACCATTTCACAAGCATTTACTTCAGAAGTAGATAAAGTTCATTACAGTTTATGTACAGTTTTATTAGATACTTGCCAAATTCACTTGTGTTCACACATGAGTGAATGTTGACAATACAAAAAGTCCATATCAGTGTAGCCTAGATTAATGCCTAGATCAATGAGATAGATTAGAACCAACAGAGATTCAAAAGCATTTTGATGTATTTGTGTATAGCACAAAAACACAATAGTAGATATTTAGATATTTGGATATCTTTGAGAAGTTTAAAAAGCTGTAGATTCATCAGCACAGATTAGAATCAGAATCAAACACCATTGTAGAATAACTGACCCCAAACCCAAACCTGCTAAAATAGATTAGCTCTTGTAAGGATAATACTAATTTGATTAAAGATGTACATTCATCCCAAACTGCCTGAGAGGAGGAAGTGACAGCATTTCCTGGTTCAACAAATGTATTTGGAAAACTGACCGCCATAATAATGTTCATATTAACCATTTGCCTTACTGTGTTCACAGTTTTATTCCTGAGAATGAGAATAGACAGAGCAAAATCCCACTGATAATAAGCCACTGATAATGAAAGTAAAGTACACAGTCTAAGATTAAATAGTGAAAATAATAAAGTGAAATAAGTGAAGTGTAGTACAATCAATTAGCATTAGAATAAAAGTATAGAGTAAGAAAAGTGAAATTAGCTTCTAATTTGAGACTCAGCTCGTTTTTGTCTGTGTTTTGACTGAATCTGCTGAGTTCTTGTGTGTCCCATAGTGTTTGTTTGTTTTTATTTTTGATTTGTTTTTGTTTGTTTATTTTTTCCCAGGATAGAGGATAAATTCCACTGATATTGATTTGGATGATTATGAGTTTAATGCATACATTTTCTTTGTTTTTTTTAATATTTTTTAAAAGTTTTTTTGATTTGTTTTTTTCTTTTTCCACTTTATTGATTGATTGATTTGAGTGATCACATGTGATTATGTGATCAAAGGGGAGGGTGTTAGTATTAGATAGCAATATGGCCTACGTGCAGGACTGTACAAGGACTCTACAAGGACTCCATGTTATGACTATGATGTGACTGTCTCTTTGTGACACGTATGTCTTTCGATGTGTGACGTGACAATGACTATATAAACTGTGTACTGCCTTTATTCTGTCTGAGAGAAAGAAACAAAGTAAACCAGTGGAACTTGAGAGAAACTTAAATAAACTTCCAGAGTTTGGCGCACCACGATCCGTCTCTGTCTGCTGAATCCTGACAACTTAATTAGATTTACAGGACATATTAAAGCCTTAATGTTTTCCACATTTGTTAAACTTCAACTAGTCTTGATGTTTAAAGCTGGAGTACCTAATTTCTTTGACTAGATAATATATTGTATTTGTCTCAGTAGAAAGAATCTTGTAAAAGTCAAATGTACTGAACAAATCATAACAAAACATGCAGTCTTCATATTTATGCATGTTATATTTTACATATTTGCAATTTAGAGACCTGTGAGTCTATATTTTAGTTTTTGGGTGGGAGCTGAGTCCTCTCTTTTTCTCTCTCAAAAAGTTCATTTGGCAGGAGCCAAAAATACATGCTTGTGAAACCTAAACCGTGAATTGTTTTTACGTTTAAATATGAACCAAAAAAGACACGAATGTCACTTTTGATGCAATTTGAGGTGAGATGTTGATGGTTCCGAGTGGTGATATGTGGGTTTTAAGAGTCAAAGTTTCGTGTAAAGTTTGGTTTTCCTGTGAAACCACACTGCTACTGTTTTGATAGCGTCCTGTGGCTAACTCGACACCTGTTAGCATACAACCGGTCTGTCGGGTTGATAATGGAAATAATAAACAAAATCTAAGTTGTAAGCATGGATCTATTAGCTGTCGACGCGTCATTGACCTACGTCAGTAAAATGACGGATGCGGCAGTTCAACTCAACAAGAAAGTCACAACAGTCGCAGTGTGGTTTCACAGGAGCAGTTGACTACTTAAACCAAACTTTACACAAAACTTTGACTCTTATAACCCACTTATTACAACATGGAACCATCAACATCTCGCCTCAAATTGCATCAAAAGTGACATTTGTGTCTTTATTTGTTTATTTTTAAACTTTTAAAGCATCTGGTTTGCTTTGGCTGCTGTGAGAAGCGCATGCGCAAGTTCTCGACAGTGCAAACCGACGTTACACCGGACGGTTTTATTTTAGAGGCCATTTACACGGAGTCACTGCGACAGTAAAACGTTGGGTAAAAAAGTTGCCTTTTGTTCACACGGAGGCAGTGTTTTTCAGGGGAGTGAAAATACAAGCATTGAAAAACGGCCTCTAATGCTTGGAACAGAACAGATACGCTGCGTGGCGGGCGGCTGACTCACAGCCGTGTGAAGAAAAAGGTGTGAACTCTCTGGCTGAAATGACCTCACCACTTCCCCACACGTACATTTGGACATGCTCAGTAGCTGAGAACACACGTAAACAACAATGGCGACGGGTCAACTAATGCTACATGTGCTTCAAGCGCTACGCAGAGGGGAAATTCTACTCCTTCATTCGTCCAAACGAAACCACGCAAAGCTGTAGTTTCCATTTTTGCTGATGCTGTAAAATGCAAAAAGATGTTGGTGTATTCTTTCCCGTCTTTGCGGGCGGACTGAGGAGGATGTTGTTGAAGAAGTGGTTATACTGGTGAGAGTCGTGTGTGTTATATTTTGAAGTTCCACTGCTCCCTACTGGCTGGGCACTAGAACTACATTGTTTTCCGATGTAGTTTGCAGCGTCTCCATCTAAATGGGGCCGTAGGTGACAGGAAACACAATACACAATTGGCTAAAAAAGGGCTAAATTACATATTTAATAAAGTCTCAATGTACATACAAGAAAAGATCATTCATAAATGTACTATTGCAGAAGCTGTAAAACCATTGAAGATAGCAAGAGCTAGAAATACTACCCCACCCTGAGATGTATACAAACGGTAAGTGCACAAGTATTCCAATGTGGTTTTAAAATGTAATGACAATCAAAATATAGACTGTATATTTGGAGTGAGATGACCAAGTGCTGACATCCCCCATAGTGTTAGCCCTAATGCAGGAGCTTTTTCAGACCAAAAAGTTGGGTGGCTTTAATTTCTTAGTCTCAAACTCTTTTCAAAACCCCAGAATATTGTTGGGAATATTACAATTGAATATATTAACCTTAAATTGTGTGTTCATATAAATGAGGGAATGATGGGCATACCAATAGAAACACATTTTCACTTTTGCATATTGTCACTTTCTGCAACAGATTATATTTATTTTTGGCATGTTTTAGGTAGCCTGACTCTTGCCAGACCCTTGTAGTTCCGCCATGCTCAAACAGAGGCGTTTCGTTTCACACACAAGGGTCTGGTATCGAGCGCATAGCAAACTCCTTCAGCAGATCAGAAAATAATCGACCAATCAGGATCGCCGGTGTTACGTTGGGTTTGCACCGCCTTCTCAAGCGAGTCTCACGTGGCAGGGAAAGCAATCCAAGATGGCGGACATGAAGTCTATGAATTTTTCAAAAGTTCAAATACGAACGAATTAAGACACGGATGTCACTTTTAATGCAACATGAGGCGAGATGTTGCTGGTTCTATGTTGTTATATGTGTGTATTAAGAGTGTTCCTGTTTACAACACTATACAGCAGGATTGCCAGGTTGGGTGGTTTCCCGCATACTTTTCTTCTAGAGACTTGTTGGTAATAAATAAACAGAAAGACAATAAACAGAATCATAATAGCCCAAGTTGAATACATTACGTTTTTTGCCAAAAAATCATACTGAGTGTTTGTTTTTTTTGGGCATTCTCACGGATTTTGGGCTGGAAAATCTCGCCCATGGGAGTCATGTGCTTCAATGTGAGTGGTTGAAGGAAGAGGTCATTTAAGTTAACGGACAAGTGGTTTATCCAATCACATACAAGGATTGTTTTTAAAAGGCCCCGCCTTCTGAAATCCAACCGCTATGGCTCAGATCCAGACCCATGTGGGAAGCACAGCAATCTACAAGGGTCTGGCGAGAGTCAGACTATGTTTTAGGTGCTTCCTTATTAATACACACTACTCCCATTTGACAGCTGCTGTGACTCCCTCTATCTTTGCTTCTGTGTTGTACAAAAAAGAATTTTGTCCAAATGAACTCCACATGGGCTGAAACTGAAAAACACTCATTGGTTCTTGTGGCATTTGTCCTGTTGAATTTGCCCCTGGGTTTACATGTAACGCACTGCTATTTAAAGCAAGTATATTCATTTGCTCTGGCATGTTTGAGTTCATCAAGTTGATACTATTGCCACAGATGATGTTATTTTCGGTGAATATCTGCGGTCGCACTAAAAAACCATGATTCAAAGCAGGATTAAAACATTTCTGTGGTGACTTCTTGTCTGTCCAGTCCTCTTGTGGCTGCCTGTGGATCTTCATATGAGCGTTGCGAGACTTAATTTTATGAAACATCCTGGAACAAAAGACACAGTTTAGATTGAAGCGATGTGGACTCTCCATAACGTGGCCCAAAGCGGAATATGCTGCTTTCTGTAAATACTCACTTTCCACACAGCTTACACGGGAAGGATCCAGCCAGTAAAGGAACAGAGGCCATCTCTTCGTGGCGGACCTGCTGTGTGATTGGCTGCTGGGTGGGCGTTGTCTAAAAGTTCCACAACATTTCACATTTATATGGGTGTGTTTTTTATATGGGTGTGTTTACAAAGCACTATTGAAAGCCAGATCCCACTATAATTCAATGAGTTTGAACAAGACGCTGTGTAAACCTTTGGGCTCTGATTGAGGTGTGAAAAACCAGTCTGTTTGGTGCAACTGGATCGAACAAACTGGTCAGATTGGAATGAGTGAATGAATGCCTACATTAGTGCCACAGTGGGGAAATTTCAGAATGAGACATTGGCAGTGAATATAGAGCATCACAAATTTTTATCGGCAAACTCAACAGGAATGTTGGTGCTTTTAAGAGCGCCATGGAAATACAATGATTTATGCTACAGCTGAGAGTGTGTGAAAACCAAACGCTAAAAGTAAACATCATGTTGTGTGATTACATTTGTCGAAAGTACTTATAATGCATTTATGATAGCAGTTTTACTCACATTTACATTTACAAAGTTTGACTAATAAGGGTAAGTTACGAGATGCCTTTGAAAGCATTTTCAGGTCAGAAGACTTCAGTTCCTCAGCATGTTTTTTATTGTTTTGAGACAAAAGCAGGAAAGATTTGCGTTGCGTAAATTAAATTGAAACTTGTGTTGCTGCTGTTAAACCTGTGTGAAAATCAAAGGCTCAAAGTAAACAAGCGTTTGCTACCATTCTATATGATAGCATTTTATTCACTAGTATTGCTCCAAAGTTTGAGTGAAAAGGCACAAGTGCTGGAACTAATTTGAAAATATTGCTAAATTAGATGTTTATATATGTTCTTGTGCTTTGTACAGACTGAACTAAAAGAAAGTTATATTTACAATTGTTGGCTTCTCCATGTCTTCAACTTTACTCTCTTCTTCCATGTTGAATGTTTTTTCTTTGTCAAGTTTCTTCCTCACGTAGTAAAGTTCCACACACTGAGCAACTGTCTTGGTTTTTACCTGCAACACAACAAGAAATATTGTAGAAATTAAAGTACTATCAATATAAAATGTATCCATATTGATATTATTATCAATAAATGGACTGATTCTCAATGCGTCCAAGACCAAGGAGATGATCATCAACTTTCATGGGAGCCCTTCCCGTCGACTGGTCACAGTAAATGGACAGGACATCGAAGTGGTTCACTCCTATAAATTCTGGGAGTCCACCTGGACCACAGACTGGACTGGTCAGCTCAGGCCAATGCCATCTACAAGAAAGGTCAGAGCAGACTTTTCTTTCTGAGTAGACTGAGGTCCTTTGATGTGAGCAGTCAAACGTTGCACATTTTTTACCAGTCTATGGTAGCTAGTGCCGTGTTCTTTGGGGTCGCGTGTTAGGGCGGCAGTCTGACCTCGAGAGACAGTAACCGGCTTGAGAGGCTGATCAGGAAATGTGTCTCTGTGATGGGGAGAAGTGTGGACTCTTTGGGAGCTGTGCTGGAGAGAAGGATGAGGGCTCTAATGCAGGGCATCCTGGGTAACTCCAGACACCATCTGCATGACACTATGGGCGAAACGGTGGATAGCACTCTTGCTTCTCAGCAAGAAGGTCCTGGGTTCAAATCCCAGGAACATGGGGAGTTTGCATGTTCTCCCCGTGTCTGCGTAGGATTCCTCCGGGTGCACAATATGTCGGAATGTAATGAGAGAGTGAATAGATGGTGTTTGATGGGGCTTTGATGTGCCAGTGTGTTTTGTGTCTTGCTTCCATCATCTCTGTGTGTGGAGAGTATGAAACAATATTTGAACTCTGAACATTGCAAAGCGCTTTGTGTGACCATGGTCTGTAAAAATGTGCTATATAAATAAAGAGTACTTACATACTGATCTGCAGTAAGATTATAGTTTGAAAAGTTGTCAAAAAATGTAGTGTTCAAATTACTTATTTGTAAAAGGAATAATCAACAATTATGTATGTTTATAATATAATAATAATAATATACTATATATGTATAACTTTATAGCTGGGGCACCTGCATGTTTTGCTTTCACAAATACACTTTGTTTGTCTCGACAGAAAATATTTTGAACATATCCCACCATACCATGCTGTCTTCATCTTATTAGAATACATGTTATCTTTTGCTTACAATTATCAAAAAGCTGTTAGGTACCCCAGCTTTAAACCTGCCAAAGAGGTTCCAGGACTGTTACCATAGTCTGAATGAGGGAGAAGTCTTTGTGGTGAGTCTCCAGAGCTGCAGTGAAGAGCCTCTTTTCGCTCTCTGTCCAAACATCAGCCCCTGCACACAATTCAAACAAACAGGACAAACATACCGTCAACTTGAGCTTTTAACTCTAATAATAGATCCATTTCACTGACCAGGACTTTCCAAACACAGAAGCCATCATGGTTTACAAAAAATTAATCATGCTCAATCGCTCGCTTAACGCAATAAAACTCGATTCTGGTGAATGTGTTGACCTCATTTCAACATGGCAAGCTGGGAAGCAGTGTGGATTCTTGTTTTTCAAAGGCCCCAGGCAAAGTTTTTTTCAAGAGTCCAATTCACTGCAAGTTCCTCCAGGGGGGCCACCAAATATTTGTGACAAAAAATATTGGATCTTTGCATTTTACGTGTTTTCTTTCCTTTTAAAGATATATACATAATCTAAAATAGAATCCCTGGTAATAATAGATAATAGGTAATTAATTATAACTAGGGTGGCAGATGCATGTATATAGATTGATTTTAGAATATTTTATAATATTTGTTGGTTAAATAGAGGTAGAATCGAGTTGTATTTTTTTCAAAGATTAAAGCCACAAATATTCAATAATAATTTAATAGAATCCATTTGCATGGTCTTTGTCACATCTTTAGACCACCCTCAATCAGCTTTCAGTATTTAAAAATGAAAATGCTATCTAATAAGGAATATCAAGCACGTTATGATCTGATTTGTTCATAAATGTTGGTACTCCTACATGTCTGTGTGTCTCACAGAAGTAAAATGTTGTGAACAAATCAAACTACAGCATTCTGTCTTCATCTTAATGGAAAACATGTTATCTTTTGTGTGAGAAAGAGCCCTTTGAGTCACTATTTGACACTTGCTGTTGTGGTCTGAGTGAGGGTGGTGAATTAGCGACAGAACCAGACTGTTTTGAGAGCGAGGGATTTTAATACAAAGTTCCATTTTTGTGGTTTGAAAGTTAGGTACCCCAGCTTTAATCCCTGCTAAAGGTGATTGGGAATTTACATCACACATAATAGCTACTCACATGAACTCAAAACCCCTTCTAACTTACATTTGGAGTTGAACTTGGGGACCAGACTGAACAATGACCAGTCTGTCCACACAGTATTTACAGGGGACTGGGGTAAGTAGCCTCCTAAACAAAAGGCTCCATTGTGACTATTCAGGGTTTGCTTGCACATTCAGAGAGTCACTTTTGAAAGAGGAAAATAGTCTCTATTTGTGACATAACTGTTTATGTAGCTATTTTTGAGCTACAGCTAAGTGTATTTCTTCAGCATGCAAGTCAAATGAGGAAGGTGCCGGTGTGAATGAATACAACTATTATACTTGTCATTTTTAATCTGATTGTAGTCTTTAAAAGTACGCTTTTAAAACCAATATTTTTTTTTTTAAGTTACACTATTAAACTATTAAATATTTGAATAGAAAATTGCAATATTATGAGAAAAATCTCAAAATGTTAAGAGAATAATCTTGAAATATCATGAAAATAAACTTGAAATATTATGAGAATAAAGTCAAAGTCAGAAAACCTGTAAAGTTTTTAAAAGTATTACGACTTTATTCTGTAATATTATTACTATTTTCTCATTGTATTGCAAGAATAAAGTTCTGATTTGTCACATTAATGTCATAGTCAAAATAAAGATAACATGTAACCACAAATGAACAAAGCGCTTCTCCGTTCAGAGTTCACAGAACCTCTCAATGGATTTACTAATTTCAATTACTCGTAGGATTGGGGATTTTCAGTGTTGTATCACCAGTTACAGAGCTTTAGGAAAAAGGAGCCCACAACACAAGATAAATGAACAATAACTACTAAAACAAAATAAAATATCTTACTTAGAACAATAAACAAGCAATAATATTTCTAACTTTAGCACAATAGTAGGTAAGATAAAAGACTCTATCTTTAGCATGTCAAATATATATCCTGACTTTGATCTCTAGTGTTTGGCAAAAACAAAAATCGGGTGAGCCGAGTGTATGGTTACGCATTTAAGAGACTATTATTCATTATCATTAGACCAGATTTTGGTAACACAGAAATTATACAGAAAAAAAAGTCTTGAGCACACAAAGAATCCAATTAAACTCTATTGACTTATTTAATAAAAAAACTTGGATGCATTGCTAACTTTCGTACAGCTGAAAGGAAATGGGTGCACCCTGTAGACAAAGTTCTGATTGGTGCGGTTTCAAAATCTGATGGGAGCTATCTCCGTACCTGTCGCCATGGTTACCATTTGGACTACAACTTTCCTGACGCACAGATATTGTCACATATCTGCTGTCTGCCCTTGAAAATGCTGCCGTTGTTCTGCCATGGCTTTCAAGATACCAGGAATAAATAAGTACAGTGATAAAAAATAGTTTGCCACCTGGAAAATATTGATATATTTTTCATTCCCATTTTTGATACCCCCTACTTTGGGTGGACTGCCAAAAGTAATCCACTACATGAGAAATCAAAGATAAATGTAATTCTTCTGGATATAGATTAATGTTAAAACATTTAAATAAAAGTAGAAAAATATCTTTGCATAAAAATAGATTTTTAGTTTAGTTTTTCTTCATCTTGGACATAAGTAAAAGGTTACCAGAGTAGTGGTAGTCTTCTGCCGGGACGAGCTGAGAAAACAGCAGCATCTCTAGAGTGGCCTAAACAGAACAATTTGAATGAAAAGAGATAGAAATACAACATTTAAACTTTACATTTAAAATACAATTCTGTATACGTGTAGGGTGTGGGGTTAAAGTTAAATAAAATGGAGGCACAAAATTATATAAATAGGACAAATGTAGATGATTTGTGCATACCATAACATCTCCATGGCAGTGATGTAGGCAGTGCAATGCCAGCTCTGTGTTGAGGCCTCCTCCTGGTAGACAACTGGAACTGCACATTTGCAGAAACTTCTCCACTATTACAAATACATAATTTTAACATAGTAGTAGAAGTGGACTGAGATACACAATTACAAACAAATAATGTATTATATTAGACCATATTTGAGTACTTTTAACATATGAATAGTTTATTTGTAAAAACTTATGCCATTAGACAAATATTATTAATGCTTCCAATTTACCCTTTACAAAGTTGAAAAGCCAGAGGAATACAACTTTTTGACAAAGCGGAGATATCTGTTTTCGGAAATGAACTCTTCATATGTACATTTGGCCATATTTCAGAGCATGAAAATACTTGAATGTATTTTCAATGTTATTATTGACCTTGATCTTGGACTGCGGTGCAGTGTGTTAGTTCGTCCCATGGTTTCCAGAGCAAGCGTTCCTGTGGCGACGCCTCCTTGGCATATGACCATTCATCAAACAAACATGGAGGAATATCTGCCTGAAACTCTGGGCCGACGTTTATGCATCTGAAACCACAGAAAAGGACTCAATGTAAGAACACAATTATATTATGAGGCACTGACCAACTTACTTTTTGTAGTCGATACCAATACTGACTTTTAGGGCTTGCTTACCCAATATATAAAATTGTTTGTTCACAAATTATCTTGTGTGTCATATTTATTATGAAAAATAAAATTAATTATTTGCTGTCGATCAGCCACGAACACTTGACAAAGTATATTGCAACTGAATAGTTGAACTCTGAACTCTGAAGACTGCACGTTGTGGTTTTATTTGTTCTCCACATTTTAATTTTACAAGACTTTCTGTTTACAAAAACGCAAGTATAAAAAACTAAAGTTAGTTACTGCACGCTGCAGTAACCAACTCTGTTTTTTCAAAGTCTCATTTAAAAAAGATCAAATTGAGCATTTTGTTTTTATTTGTTTTAAGTCTGTTGATTATTTAACAATCTAAGAATAAAACAACATACACACAAAAAAAACTAATTCTTACGGAAGAACCTTGGGGCTGTTCAGTGACTGCTCTCCTGGGTCTGGGTGTGTGTGGCCGGTGGAGGAGTACAGGCCTGGTCCTCGCCGTAATGGGTTCAGCTGAGGTGGTGGAGTGAAGTGTCCACGATCAGACTGAAGCATGCTGGGAAATGTAGTTCTGGTGTAGACGGGACATTCTGGATTCTGTAAGAATCAAGAGAAAGTGTTTGATTGTACCACATGATTTGGTTTTCTGTGTATGTGGCATAGAAGAGATGTGATCAACTCCAGCTGTCACATACTTGGACCAAAATAGAAATGAACTACAATAAGAAGCCTTCTATTGTCTCCTTTCAAAAATCTTCTTTTTCAAAATTGCATACTTGCAACTGTACTCTATGAACAATGTGACAATATTCCAAAGAGCCTCTATTGTAACATTGCCATGAAGAAAAGTTGATTAATATTCCTTGATAACAACGGAAACAGTCAAAAGTCAGATTTTTTGTTACCAGAGCTAATCTGTTTTTAATTTCTGGGCCAATCCACATGAAACAAAAAATGTCACACATTTCCACATTTTCTTTGGTGCAATAATTTTCTTAGTTTAGAAGTGGTGACAAAATTCCAAAACATATGCAATATGTTGGCCAGTATACAGGACTTTAAGGCAATTATTAATAATAATAATATGGCAGGTATCCCAGCTTTAATAAAATACTAATTTATGATTACATGCTTACTTGCTGATGTGATGGTTTGCGATTGTCCACGTTTTGATGGTTTGACTGAGCAGCAGGGAAATGGTGGACAGAATGTATGGATGAGAATACAGCCCTGGGAGACTGCAGAACCGAAACGAGCGGAAATGAAGGCACAGGCGACTGGGCACAGTTATTTGGACCTAAAGAAAACAACAAAGAAACTATAGCAAAAGTCTTATATTTCAGACTGTGGTAATGTGAACATGTTGGCCTATTGTTTTGTATTAGTGTATTGCAGAAATGTTTTGAATCTACATTACACACATTGAAACAATATTCAAGGCACTTGTCTAGTGGCGGCTCGTGGCCATGGAGATGTTGTGGCCTGGATTGTTACACATTAAAGCTACTATTTCATAAAATATATTTGGTTGCACTCTTACTTTGAGAGATCTACCACATAAGACAGATCTCTGTGTAAGTTTAACAACATATTGGCAGGTTCCATCGAGGAACTGTTTCAAAAAATTTCAAATCGACTTATCTGAACTTTTAGCCAAGTTGTTTTTAGATCCACGCTAATATCAGGAACTTTTGGCACAAACTTGTAACTTTGTCTAAAAGCTCCTCTCTCAGTCATGGAGCTTTCGCGAAAGTTCACCGTGGTAGACCCGGCTGTTGCTGCCAGGCCACAGGCTGCTATTCCTCGACTCATCAATACCAGCAACGCCCACACCCAGTCAACCAATAACCACCAGGACAGCAAGTTAAAAGCCGGAGACGCCCACTTCCCGATCTTCTGAAGTCTGCAAACTTCTGAAGTCTGCAAGGTGCATGTCGCTAACGCACCTGTTCGCAAATGCATGCGTTGTTCTGAAGGGGCTGCTTCTGCTCACGTGTTGCTCGTGCGCGTGGCCCGGCTGTCCTCAGTCTGGCTGCTCGTGGTCTGCTCCTCCTCCGTGTCCCTGCACCTGCTATGGTTCGCATATCCCCACTGCTCTCCTCCTCTGCGGGCTCTTCTGCGGGCTGCTCCGCGGGGCCCCTCCGCGGTTCTGTGCTGCTCGTTCCTCGTGGTCTGCTGCCGCGCGCAGACGGTCTGGCGGTGCTGTGCGTGTCCCTGCCTCCGACTGGCGGTGCCGCGTTGTCCCGTTGCTCTTCCCAAGTCTCCTGGCATGTGAGTACAGTGAGTGTGCCGACCGCGGACAGTTTAATCCCGGAGTCTAGGCTGCAGGCGGCTGGTTTTTGCCCTACGCACTTGACTGCAGGCGTCAGTCTTCGCCCGTGCTTGGTCTGCAGGCTCCGTTTTACACGTGTTGAGCTAACTGAGGGTCAATGCATCTTAAATGGCATCAATCTCCAATGTCTGAGGGATATAAGAGGAGCAATGTGCATTAATTCAGATTCATGTTCTGCCACTTGCAGTAAAACCACGTTGGAAAAAATGTGCAAAGACTACCCCATCGTGCTCCAGACGGCACACACAGAGCTCTTGCACGGCGCCATCTTTACAGCATCAATCTCATTACTCGCAAGTCACTATTGTTAAATGATGTATTTAAATTCGTCTATCTGCAGGAGGAAGGAGGGGCCATGCATTTAAATAGCTAGGTCACTAGTATTAAACTGGGTAACTAAACTGCAGTTGTTGCATTTCGAAAGTGCAGCAGAAAGAAAAGGGGCCCAATGTGAATATGCAATGGGTTTGAAGTGGAGCTGTAGCTATGAACGCATGGATCAGTGATCGTTCATGCGTATCTGCCATAACCAAAGCAGCAAGATGGCTCCAGGGGACATCTGTTTCTCGCATGGGAATGTTTCGGATTCGGGTTGATTTATTTCCTCAGGCTCTTAAACAACCGTGGGCATGGTTCTCTGACCGCCGCTGCTGCGGTCCCTGCTGCCGTTCCTACTGATGCCTGATCCCGCTGCTGCCTATTCCTGCTGCTGCCTGTCCCTGCTGCCTGCTCCTGCTGCTCCTACTACTACATGTGCCGCTGCTGCTGTTCCTGCCGCTGCCGCTCCGCAGGCTCCCAGGCTGCACCTATCTCTACGGCTCGGCTCTTCAGACACGTACGTAACCTGGCTCACGGAGACAAGCGGCGCACGCTGGCGTGACACGTCTGTTGTTCGTATGAATTGCATTGTGCTGCTGCTGCTTGCTGCTTCTGCTGCCGCTACTGCTGCTATTGCTGCCGCTGCTGCTTCATACTGCATCTGCTGCCGTGCTGCTGCTGCTTCTTTACTTTGACACCTCTCTTCACTGCGCATCTCTTTTACTGAAACACTAAACAGCTTCAACTATATTCTACTGCGGTGGCTTGATACAGGATTATTGCTGTTATTATCTACGGATGCTGCAACCGCTGCTGCTGCTGCTGCTTCATGCTGCTACCGTTACTGCTGCCGCTGCTGCTTCATACTGCATCTGCTGCCGTGCTGCTGCTGCTTCATGTACTTGACATCTCTCTTCACTTCGCATCTCTTTTACTGAAACACTAAACAGCTACAACAATATTCTACTGCTCTGGCTTTGATACAGGATTATGGCTGTTATTATCTACGGATGCTGCAACCGCTGCTGCTTCATACTGCTACTGCTGCTACTGCTAATGCTGCTTCTGCTGCTTCATACTGCTACCGTTACTGCTGCTGCTACTGCTGCGCTGCTGCTGCTGCTTCATGTACTTTGACATCCCTCTTCACTTCGCATCTCTTTTACTGAAACACTAAACGGCTACAACAATATTCTACTGCTCTGGCTTTGATACAGGATTATTGCTGCTATTATCGACGGATGCTGCAGCTGCTGCTGCTTCACACTGCTACTGCTGCTGCTGCTTCATACTGCTACTGCTGCTGCTTCATACGGCTACTGCTGCTGCTACTACTGCTGCTGCTGCTTCATTTACTTTGCCATCTCTCTTCACTTCGCATCTCTTTTACTGAAACCCTGAACAGCTACAACATTCTACTGCTGTGGCTTTGATACAGAATTATTACTGTTATTTTCTAAGGACGCTGCTACTGCTGCTGCCGCGGCTTGATACAGGACTTTGCTGTTATTATCTGAGGCTACTGCTGCTGCCGCTGCTGCTACTGCTACTGCAACCCATTCTCTCAGAAGCTTATCCTGCTTCTAAATGGATGCAGCCCGGCTGAGTATGCCGCGCTGCGCCGGACTCGCACCTATGCTCCCAGGGTCGCTTCGGCGGTCGTGCTTCATCTCTCTACTGAATCTTCTGATTCTATCAGATGCAGCTGGCCAAGTAGCTGCGCTGAGCCGTCAATCGGACTCCTAATCAAAGGCATCCATACCTGGTTCTTCACTCTTCTGATCACAGGCTCCCCATCATGCTGCCCATCCTGCAGCGGCGCTGAACTCCGGCTCATCTTCCAAGTACATGTCTGCCCTCCTCGCAGCATCTTCTGCTCGCCTTCTGTGGCTTCTCTGCATAAGCGTTTCACCACTGCTCACTCAACCTTCAATGCGGTCCGAGACACGGCTTCCCGTCCTATCCTACTGGCCTAATTATCTACTCTCCAACCCAAGATTCTAAGCGTAAAGGCGCCTGCAACATCAATGGCCCTCTCCGGTGTGTCTCTCTGCCCCTACAGGTCTCCGCTTCTACACGGACGCTGCCCCTTCCGTGGGTTTTTGGGGGATTCTTCCAGGACCAGTGGTTCGCCGGCCGTGGCCCGCTACTTTCCCCGGAGCATTTCCTCTGCCCTACACGAGACATTCCCAGTGGTCGTGGCCTGCGCGCTGCGGAATCACACGTGGCAGAGAAAGAGGATCTCTGTCATGCGTGATCATCTCGACGTAGTGGAAGCATTAAACAAAGGTCGCTCTTCTCACCCAACATAATGTCCCCTGACCATTCAACCTTCATCTCAAACATTCAAAGATCAGAGGCGCCTGCAACACAATAATAGCTCGCTTCGACACATCTCTCTGCCCCTACAGGTCCATGATGCGTTACACTCGCCTCCGCGGCAAAAAGGAGATTTTAACGGACCTCTAATTCTCACTCCAGTCAACCTTCCCATAACAGCAACCTGGTTCAGAGCTCAGCTAAGATCCCTACTGCTCCTCTGCAATTTGTCTCCCCAGCTCTATACAGCCCACTCCTTCAGGATAGGCGCTGCCACGCGCGCGACCTCGCTGGGGCTCCCCCACTCTTCCTCTGCAACGGCTGGGGCGCTGGTCCTCTTCGGCTTCTCCACCTACATCAGGCCAGATGCGACCGCTATCATGGCAGCACAACGTCTACCGGCTTCCTCGTAAGCTCCCAGCAAAGCAAGTAAGCAATAAGATTCTGGTGGCGGCACGCACTTTCCTCAAACGCTCAAAGATTCCTTGCTTCAGCGTCTGGCTGAATATGAGCGTGCGCTCATATTCTCAGTTCGCTCAAAGATTCCTCTGCTGCGGCTGGCTGAACATGCGCGTGCGCGCATGTT